TAATTCTTATTCCACATTCGAGGAATCATCACACTAAATTACTAAGAAAATAGTTTAGAACAAATATCTCTCTCCATTGGTGCAGCCTTAATCTCTAATAGAAATCTATAAGACAACGAGCACATCGAGTTATTGTCTTCCTTAGTCAAATCACCAGATTTCAGAATGAGTGTTCTCTCTGTCAAAGTATAAGTGGTCTCTCTGTCAAAGTATAAAACTATTGTTTGCCCACCTTTTAATAGCTTAAGCTTTTGGGATGGATTGGTAAACTAACATTGTATTAGAGCGGGAGGTCCTGAGTTCAAATTTCTGTAATTGCACTCTTTATCCCCTTTCAAAATTGTCATCATGTGTTGGGTTTTTAATATATCTCGGGCTTAAATATTCACGTGTTGGGCTTTCCAATTAATTTACCCACACGATTGCCCATTGTCCAGCCCACACATGAGGGGGAGTGTTAAAGTATAATACTATTGTTGGCCCACCTCCTAATAGCTTAAGCTTTTGGGATGGATTGGTAAACTAACACTCTCTCTAGATGGGAAAGAGGGAAAATGACCGAATGATTTGACGTATTAGAGACCATAACCTAAGTTTATTTATATACTACCCTATTAGGCTCTTATTAAATCTAATTAGGTCAACATGGGTACCCACCTATTTAGTTCATACCCTATTAAGAAACTATTTTAGCTCTTCATAATTAGATCACTTAATTAGCCCAATTAATTAAATAACATTAATATAATTATTATAAATATGTGGCTCATAATTATTATTAGGAAATTTTCCTAACATATATATATATATACATATATATATATACATACATATATATACATATATTACATCAAAGACCTGATGAGATGGTGCGAGAAAATATTTTGCTACTGAGAGTGCGATACCTAGTTATAGTTTATCCTTAATCACTTTCCTTCCTAGAAACTTAACAAAAAAAAAAGAAGTTTCTCCGGGAAACAAATTATAAGAATTCAGACACGATAGAATTAGGTCCCGTTTATTTCACCGATTCGAGTTTAGAATTTGAGTTTTGCTACAGTAAAAAGTTTCATAAATAGTCACATCTAACTTTTTTACTACAGTAAAAAACTCTCACATAAAATCACATCTCAACTTGAATAACAAACTCGAATCAACGAAGTAAACGGACCATAATTAATTATAGTTCTTTCTTTCCATTGCTTTTTCTATCTCTGCTAACCACTTGATTTGGACAAAGATTTGGATCTGTCGGAACACGGTCCGTGCATGAATCAAATAATTCTGTTACAACTTTTCATGGTATCGTTTGCTAATTAAGAACCTCTCTTCTGGTTATATATGCGTGCGCGCATATATATATATATATATATATATATATAAGTGTGTGTATAGCATAAATGCGTTTTATTATATTTTATTTTTTGAAGTGTGGATTATATATAAATATATGTATATATTATTGATACTTTGAAATATATATCCATTTAAAGTTAATCATTTATTTTTTTAAAAACAGATACAAACATTATGTGAAGGAATATATACGAAAACAAAAGATAAAGTGCAGGTGAGGACATTATATACATTTGTAGTTTTTAACGTACTTGGTCGACGAACATTTGAGAACCAACCAGCTTGTGATCATGACTAGTTTCCTCACAGCTTGTGGTTTTCCACTTTAAAATGACAATTGGATGGCAGAAATTTGTCCACTATTGCCTATCCATTTCATCACACGAAGAAGAACTTATTACAAGCTGCAGGGACCATTTGTGCACTATATCACCTGCTGATGATCATCTCTTATTATGCGGACAATAAAGATTGATGTTAAATGGTAGGGCATAACAGCCTATAATAATAATAATAATAATGAGAATAATAATAATAATGGTAATAATAATAATAATAATAATAATAATAATAATAATAATAATAATAATAATAATAATAATAATAATAATAGTAGTAGTAGGTTCAAAACTGTAGTAGAAAAAATTAGAGCTTTTAATTCAAGTTGAAATGTTATTTTTGTGAGAGTATTTAACTATAATAAAAGTGAAATTGAAAACTTAAATTGGTAAAATAAACTAATAGCACAAATATATGTTCAAGCCCATGAAAACTTAAGAAAGCGTTAGTCCTCCAAAATTGGATCTAAACCCACTTAAAATGAGTTCTAGTAAACCCACAACCCAAGTTAAAAAAATGAATGAGACATTGGTCTAAATTTGTTTATAGGTTTAAAACTTGACGAACACGTGAAGTGAACGGGTCTTTACTTTCTTCACAATGCCGCCGTGTGTCAATTGCAAGTGGGAAAAGAATTAATTTAGCCAAAAAAAAAAAAAGGATTTGTGCATGAATAGCCTGTTCTAAGGCATGGTTTAATTAAGTGGAGAAAAATTACAACAAATAGCGTGGGAACTGTAGAATAGTCTTGTTATGTTTGTCATTGTTATTATTAGAATTGGCAGGTCAAAAGAGAAAGGTGGTCACTTATACAAGTAATGAGCGCGGTATCAATTTGGCTAAGAGTATTTCAGAAAAAAAAATATAAAATTAAATCAAATGTGCCTCCCGAGCTTTAATAATCCGAATTTCCCATATATCCACACATTAAATAAACAAAACAAATGCATTGCCTCGTCATCTTGGACTTCATTATTATCGTGTTTATACATGTAATCACCATTTTCTTAAGCAGCCAGGTTCTCACGCTCATGTATTATATACACGTATACTTATGTATCTTATTGTGAAAGCATTTTCTTATTAACCTACGGACACACACACACACATTTGGTGATAGGAATATGAAATTGGGAGATTAAGGGGTTGTTTAGTTGAGAGATTCATACCCCGATTCGAATCATGGTTCATAATTCACTACAGTATTTTCTCTTATAAAAAATACACGTAAATCAAAAATGGTTCTAATCTCATGATTTTAATCCATGAACCAAACGTCTGCTAAATTTAAGTTTGAGCACTCACACGCCAATCGTCATACAGTCAACAGAAATAACACCCTGATAATAGCATAAATAAAAAAGAAAAACTATGATAATTTTTTGGTGTCTATAGATTATAATAGATGGACTTATAGGAAGATGACACTTGGTCTTAATGCTTATCCCATACGGTTCATGCCGGCATGTTGGGGGATTATTGGTAAGCAGGACAATTACCATGTTTTTTTTTTGTTCCAGTTGGCCTAAAAGGAGGAAAAGAACGGGTTGTAATCCCTTTAGCTAGAGAATCATTTAGCGATAAAGCCAAAAGAAAGGGTAAAAAAGGTTGTCTCCTTATTTTTATAATAATAAAGAAAGGAATTCCATAGAAAAATTAATGATTAGCTTAATTAAAATATCGAGAAAAAGGTCAAAAAGTAGTTAACACGTTTTTAACCACTTAAGTCATATTTAATATGACGAGTGAGGACAACCTAATTAGTTATAAGTCTCTGCACTCTAATAATAAATTGTCACGTTAAAATCCACTTATAAATGATGACACGTTTTGATTTCTCACCCCTTATTAACTCATTTTTTTCTTCTTTTCTCTCTTTTTCCTTTTTTCCCCTCACTTCCTTCTTCCTTCTCGTTTTTTCCTTTTACAATACATTCTTTTTTTCCCTTCTCAAATGTGACCCTCATACATTTTTTTCTCTTTAACTGTCCTATTGAAATAATTTCTTCTCATATAAGTCCCAATCAAAATTTTTTTTACAAAATGATCCTCTCAAATCCTTTCCTTTTTTTAATATGTATGCCCAATATATTTTTTCCTTTCTTTTCCCCTTTTTTCTTTTGTTCACCTCATTTCTTTTTTCTCACTACAAAAATACATTATTTTTTCCCTTTCTCAAACACGACCCTCATAAATATTTGTTTCCTCTATTTTTTTTTTCTCTAATTTGCCTATTGAAATAATTTCTTTTCATATATGTCCTAATCAAAACTCTTTTTTACGAAATGACCCTCTCAAATACTTGCTTTACTATATATACCCAATAAACAATCTTTAATATTTTGTTCTCAAATGTGTCGTTACGGAAACATTTTATCTGCATTAAATTTCTTTTATGTGTGCTACTAAATAATTTTTCGCCTGATTTGTCCCATTAAAAACTTTTTCCCTTTTAATGTTGCTCTATTTAATTTTTTTACTGGATTTAATTTTTTAAAAATCAATTACAAAAAACATAAACTATAATTTTTTTAAAAAAAAAATTAGAACCTCCATATCGAAAAAAAGGAAAATGTTGAATGCGCACCCGGCGCGCGTTTACAACTAGTAACAAACGGTGAAAATGGCTTCCTTAAAAACATCTGATCACTGTGCTTTTCAAGCTTTTGTAATATTGACTTGGTGGTATAGCCTTTTTTTCGTATTCGCCTTCACTTCATTGTCGTATTTAATATAATCACACACACACATATATATATATATATAATATATCTACTTTTAATACTATTTTTTTTTATGAAACTACTTTTAATACTAATTGATATAATGAGCGAATTACCATATTTCAATTGATAAACATTACGAAAATCAAATTATAATTAATAGCAGCATCTCATTAAATGATATTTGAGTATAATTCACTTATCCATTGTGATGAATTAATATTAAAAATTGAGCACAAGTGCTGCTACATATGACTAACGTTATATATACTTAAAAGTTAAATATTTATAGTCAACTGCCTTTTTTATAACTCGAATGTACAGCTACAAGATAATGGATTAGCTCCAATACCAATTTATAAGTACCTCAGTGATCAATCATATACTTCAGAAAAGACTAATCTGTCAATAATTCGAATATCTAATAATACATCCCTCCACATATGTAGATGCAATCCTAATTTTTTTATTCATGGTAACGCGCACCGGCCAATGCCCTTTTTTTAAAAGTCCCCCAAGAAAAATATTCTACTATATAAACACACATATATTTACATTAATAATGCAATGAGAGTGATGCATTAGTAGTAAGTACTCTTGCCTCTTTGGAACTACACGCATTATATAAACAGTAAACCGAGGCACAGTTCTCCCAAACACTTCAAAAACACCATTCACCACCACATGGGTTCTCTGGCAGAGACACCGGCGGAGACAACATACGCAGGAGGCGCGGTGGAGCTCCAACAGCTCGACGTCATTGAGGATCATGTCGGCCGAACCGCGACTACTACTAATGACCACCAGAAAAGAGCTCATGACTGCCTGCTCAACTCTCCTGAGCCACCCTCTCTGTTTCATCAGCTTCTTTCTTCAATCAAACGCACAATTTTTGCCGAACAAAAAAACAAGAAGCACTCTTCAAAAGGGAATGGCAAGAGCACAACTTCATCGGGGCGTCTTTTTTCCGTCTTGATGTCTCTTTTTCCGATCCTAAGATTGGGAAGGAACTACAAGGCCTCCAAATTCAAACACGACTTGATGGCTGGCTTAACTCTTGCTAGTCTCAGCATTCCTCAGGTACCACCGAAAAAATAGAAAACAATAACAAAACAACTTTTGCTTTTTTTACAAACATTTGAAATGACATTATGAGTTCTATATATGATGGTTTTGCAGAGTATTGGATATGCGAATTTAGCGAAACTTGATCCTCAGTACGGCCTCTGTAAGTTGTTAATCCGCTTGATCATTATGAGTTCTAGTTAATAATTAACTTCATAGTTTGTTTAATATGTATGCTAAACTTTTGATTTTTAGACACAAGCGTTGTGCCGCCACTAATCTATGCTCTAATGGGAAGCTCAAGAGAAATAGCCATTGGACCTGTGGCTGTGGTCTCATTGCTTCTCTCTTCCTTGGTGCCGGAAATGCAAGACCCCGCCACCGACCCCGTTGCCTACACAAAGCTTGTTTTCACCGTCACTTTCTTCGCCGGAATTTTTCAAACTGCCTTTGGATTCTTCAGGTATACAGTGCTTTACTAAGTGATATATTTGTATATATATCCCTTTTTATTTTTTGTTTTTAGTTATAAAAGTGCACGTAATAATTAATTAATTGATTGATATCTTATGTATCTTTGCAGGTTGGGTTTTTTAATTGATTTTCTGTCACATGCTGCCATAGTTGGGTTCATGGCTGGAGCAGCCATAGTTATAGGGCTTCAGCAACTCAGGGGTCTAATTGGGATCACCCACTTCACCACAAATACTGATGTTGTCTCTGTGTTGAAGTCCGTTTTCAAGTCCTTTGTTAATGAGCCAGTAAGTGATCTCTTTGCTAGAGCTAATTTATTAACTAAATTCTAATTGAAAATTATGTAACATATATTCAATATTAACCAACTATTGGTAACTTTCACATTCATGGAATGGAAAAAGGTTAAAAAGGGGGATTTTATTCGAGAATAAAATCAAACATGTACATCAAGCATTTGTCTGAATTAAATTATTGTCCTTTTTTTTCTTTGCTAAATTACAGTGGCACCCTCTCAATATCGTCATCGGTTGCTCGTTCCTAATCTTTCTCCTAGTTGCGCGGCACATTGTAAGTCATAAATTTCTAAAAGTGTTTTCAATATTCCCTTGTGATTTTTTTCTTTAAATTTCTGCTCTTATAATTAGTAATTGACTAAACTCATTTTGTTAATTAAATAATTTGTAGGGTAGAAGAAACAAAAAGCTGTTTTGGGTGCCAGCAATTGCTCCTCTATTATCAGTGATATTATCCACTCTGATAGTGTATTTAACAAAAGCTGATAAGCATGGAGTCAAAATAGTCAAACACATCAACGGAGGCCTGAATCCCAGCTCCCTTCATCAGTTGCAGCTCAAAGGCCCACATGTCGCACAAACTGCCAAAGCAGGACTCATTTGTGCCATCATTGCACTCACCGTGAGTTATTTATTTATTTATCATCCACAACACATTTCTATTTTTATTTTTGTTCTAGTTTTTTTCTTTTATAAATCTTTGACATGTGATTAAGGTAATTGACTTGAATATTAATGTTTGAATTATTAATTAATTAAATATCAGGAGGCAATTGCTGTTGGTCGATCCTTTGCTTCCATCAAAGGATACCATCTTGATGGGAACACGGAGATGTTAGCCATGGGCTTTATGAACCTTGCAGGATCTCTAACTTCTTGTTATGTGGCGACTGGTGAGCTTTTTTTTTTTTTTTTTAATAAAATAATTTTTATGAGCATTTTTTTTTTTTTGGTGGCACTTGCGAGGTCATGGTGCAAGTTTGGATTGATTCCGAAGCTCCAAAAATTACTTTTAAAATAATTTTAAGCATATATCGACGAAAGCAATTTTGATACATAGAAAAGAACCCAATAGAACGCTAAAAGTGATTTTATTTTAAACCAAAACAATCCCAAGTGGAGTATAACATTAACGCTAGGTAAAAAAAAAAAAGAAAAGAAAAAGTAACAAAGTTCATTAAAATATAAATTCTTTGACACGTGCAACTTTTTTAGTCAAGAGTTAATTTCAGATTACAACTTGATCATTCAAATGAAAGTTAAGTGGATGAATAGTGCTTATAATACTGGTTGGTGTATGCAGGTTCATTCTCAAGAACGGCGGTGAATTTCAGCGCCGGATGTGAGACCGTGGTGTCGAATATAGTGATGGCCGTGACAGTGTTTGCGTCGCTGCAGTTGTTAACAAAGCTCTTGTACTACACTCCCATGACCATCCTGGCTTCAATAATCTTGTCAGCTCTTCCTGGACTTATCGACATCAACGAAGCTTTTCACATCTGGAAACTCGACAAACTCGATTTCCTCGCTTGCATTGGCGCTTTCTTTGGCGTCTTGTTCGCCTCCGTGGAGATCGGCCTTCTCATAGCGGTAAAGAAAAGGAAAAAAAAAAAAAAAAATTAACCCCTTCTACTTTTCTTTTTTTGATAATTAACCACTTCTACTATTTTTGTTATCTATTATTATGCAATTATTTCAAGTTGTGCAATATCAGGACGGCACATAGATGATAGACTACAAAAATATGTGTTCTCGTTACCAAAACTTTGTAGCTAGCTACTGATCATCATGATGCCAACTTGCAGTGAAGAAGACAAATCAGTCACAATTTGGTATCAAGTTTTTAGCACTACATATAGTATAGAATAATATAGTCAATTATTATAGCCACTACAAAACTATATAACTTGGCTTGGGTAATAAGAGAGTCGTTTTTCGATCATGCCAAGTTGAATGTGGTATGGTATGACAGATGAGGATGATGGATGGTCCGTCTAATAATTGAGCTGGAGAAAAAAGAAAAGAAAAGAAAAGAAAAGAAAATAGTCCCATTAAATTCTTTAGTGGTTCTCAGGCTTTTGATTTTACTTATATGGTGTGGACCGATGTTCCAAAGTAGAGGGCTCAGGTCAACTCATTGAGATTGTCCTCTTTGTCTTGATAACTTGTATCCACTATCCACCACTTGCTTCCCTCTTCTCTGTAGACAAATTTAGGGCCCCATTGTGTACATTTAGACAAGGTTATTAGGTGCTATATATATAGGATAATATTGTACCCTTATAAGTGGAAAAAATAAAAAAAGTTGAGATATTTGTATGTATATCAGCACCAAGAAGTAATTGCCAGGACCCATAACTTGACAAAGTTGCAACGTATGAAGCACCAGTTAGTACTTTTTGTAGCAAAGCAAACGGTTATTAGTCTTTTCTTAAGATTTAATAGTCTTTTTTTTTTTTTTTTTCAGAAAAACCATTAACTAATCGAGTACTAGTTTTGGAACGTTTTAAAAATTAGGAACCAAAATATGATTTGGCTTATACTCCTAGATTAAATGAGTTTAACCCTATTAGTTAGTAGTGAAAGTCAAGTTGGTCTCACCTGTTCATTCATGTATAGCTAATGATATATATATATATATATATATTATATATAGGCTCAGCATGTGCCATATGTCACTGTTTGAGTAAATTGCTTGATGCTTAATCCACTGATGAGTTGGACCAAAGTGGATAGGATGGAATCTAAGGTCTTCTATTGAGTTCCGACCACTTACAATTCAACATGCTTAATAATACATTATCTATTATTCTTTTTATATGTCATGTCACCAGTTACATATATGCTTTAGGCCTGATATATATATATATATATTTTTTTTGGGTGCTTAATTTTGCAGGTGGCCATCTCCTTTGCAAAGATATTACTGCATTCAATTCGACCAGGGGTAGAGGTACTAGGAAGAATTCCAAGAACAGATACCTTCTGTGAAATCAGTCAATATCCCATGGCTGCCAAGGCCCCAGGCATCTTGATAATCCGCATCGACTCTGGCTTACTTTGTTTTGCTAATGCCAACTTTGTTAGAGAAAGGTGCATCTTTTTTTTTCTTCCTAAAAGAGAATATATACATACATACACACACACACACACACATATATATATATATATCTGGAGGCGTGACATACACCTAATAAAAAAAAAAACTTATGTGACATCCATTTAAATGTTGGATTAAGTTAAAATCACGCAAGAATCAAATAATATGTGAATTCTGAAAACATGGAAAAGGACAAAAGAGAGAATTGAGGAGAATTGTATTCTCTGTGGTGCGTTTAGTCAAGATCACTCAAAGACTACGAATATTGGTGAAATATTAAGGGAGGGATTAATCAACTGTCACATTCCCAAAATCAAGGGTGGCAATAATTCAGGATGGGAATCCTAATGTTAACATCTACTCGAACTTAGGTATTGTAGAAGCCCAATTGAGCTTGGATATTAAGGTCTACAAATTATCCAGAAAATAAAGGCTTGGTGAAGAGCATAGTTTAGACATATATAATCTAAACTTTTTAAATCTAGTTTTGTAGTTCAGACCAAAAAATAAAAATAAAATGAAAATTTAACAATTCATTACTGCCAAATCATGCGAAAAATAAAAATAAAATCCGATGAAAATTTAACAATTCATTACTGCCAAATCATGCAAAAGAGTTGACGGGGGTACTGATCTTTTTTCATAATGCTTTGTTTTAGGATAATAAAGTGGGTGGCAGATGAAGAGGATGCAACGGAAGAGACTGTAAAGAACATTGTTCAAGTAGTGGTTCTCGACATGTCCAGTAAGCACACTTCTCTTCATGGTTTCAGAAATAATTCCTATAAACCATGGATTATATTCTTAACTAATATCACACCAATGCATTTTTCATTTTTGACGATGCAAACAGATGTGATGAACATCGACACTTCAGGAATTTCTTCTCTAGAGGAACTGCACAAGAAGTTACTTTCCCATGGCATAGGAGTAAGGCATCACTAATTCTACATGACATATATGAATATATATATATATATATATATTTATTTATTTGGTACATATATACATATTAAGTGTTCTATACTAATATTGTTGTTTATATATATTTGCAGTTAGCAGTGGCAAACCCAAAGTGGCAAGTGATCCACAAGCTAAAGCTAGCCAAGTTTGTAGACAAAATAGGGGGAGAGAGGGTCTTCTTCACAGTGGGTGAAGCTGTAGAAGGTTGCCTTGGCTCCAAAGTGGCAGCTAATTCAGGCCTTAGCAGCTGTTGACAAGTCTTAGAATATAAATAGTGCCCAGCTCTCTATTTGCTTTATCACACATATATATATGTATATATATATATCCTAAGAAATTGCAAATAATACAGTTGGGGTTGAGAGTGGTGAATATCGGATGAGGTCCAAAGGATCATTTGTTTCCAAGAGTGCTACCCTCTCCGACTGTTAATCAGTATTTGGAAATTAAGCCACATAGGAGTGGCTTAGATCCAGCTAGGTTTCTAGCAATAGTTTTCTTTGAATCAATTATAAAATGGCTGCTTATTTGAATATACTGGATAATAACATTAACCTCCGTGAGTCACATAGATTAAAGAAGGATTTGAAAAAAAAAACAAAAAATAGACAGAGAGAGAGAGACCAATAATGGCATAGAACGGAAACACTTTGAGAAAACGACAACGAAAAGGGACATAAATAGTAAACGACGGCATATAATAATAAACAAAAAGTCAGTAACAATATATAACAAAAAAGTCTGTAACAACAGGAAAAGACATTAATCAGACGTCTAACATTTGGCAAAAAAGGGGACGTACAACATTCTGTGAACAAACGACATTAACTGAAAAAAACGACATCAATCTGCAGACGACAACGTAACCTCAATTAGTTACAAAAACCGGAACATAACAGTAACCTCGATCAGTTAGAAAAACCGACATTCTACGAACAAACAATAATTAAACAAGAAAACGACATGAGTTTTACGAGCGACCGTGACTTTAAAACAACATAAACTGTAACAACAAGAAAACGACACAAACTGTAAAAACAACATAAACTGTAAGACCATAACATATGAACAAAAGGTCAGTAACAACGAGAAACGACATGTAATGGAAAATAAAGAACGTCGTTGACTAAAAGAAGCCTTTAATATCAGACCGTGACGGAGTTAAGATTTTGTTTCAGAGGGGCATAAAATAAAAATAAAAATATTGAAAATGTTAAAAACATTAACAAACTCAACTCCTAATACTATTACTTTCCTTTTCTTTTTCTTTTTTTTTTTTTTGCTTTAACATACTACTAACTAATTAGAATAATATCATGCATGTGCATGTTGATCAATTTATTGAACCTTTTGATACGTGAATTTAAAATTTTAAAGAGCTTTTTTTTTTTTAAATAATAAATATTTTTTTACTTCAACAAGGGAAAATTAGAGAAAATGTGTTTTATAGAATGTAGCAATTGAGAGAGTTATTTGAAAAAAAAATAAAATCCTAAATTAGGGACACATTTTAGCAATATTGTTTTAATGAGTCATTTTAAATTTTGTATGAGACTCTCTTTTGATATAATAAAGATTATATGAAAAAAAATATTTAAAAAGGGACCAATTCGAAGGAAAAAATATTTTTGTAAGAGTAAATTAGAAAAAAGTTATTTAATTTGGTACATTCAAAGGTATACGATTTAATAGGAAAAGACAAAAAATCAATAAGCAGGAAACCAAAAAAAAAAGTTGAGGTTAGATTTTTTAGAGGTTTGTTTGAAATTTTTATTAATATGAAAAACCATAGGTTAAAATGAAAAACCAAAAATCGAGGGGGCATATGCCCCTGGCCTCACCTCCCTCCGCCAGTGATATTATCAAACATCAGACACATTATTTATTTAAAAAAAAAAAAAAAACCGACTTTCACTAAAACAACATGAATGCAAAAAAGATGTTAAATGAAGAAACGACAATTAATGTTTCGTCGTTTCGAAAGTAGGGAGCAGAAGGCATGTGTGAGGTAATGATACGCCCGCCACAGGTAGCGACGTTTTACGTGTATCTAAAACGGCATCGTCTCGTTCTCGCCGTCACAGCGCATAGTTGTCGTCGATTCGAATGAGGAATATTTAACTATTGAATCAAAAAAACACATCAGAAAGAGGAATTTGAAGTAACGAAAAGATAGAAAGAAGATAAAAAAGATGGGAGCAGAAGGAGAGCAGGAAATTAAGGCCAATGAGAATCCGAGGCCCAATCCCATCACGGGGTCGCAGTTCCTTTCCTGGAAACGCCAAAAGGTTTTTTTTTTTTTTTTTTTTTTTTTTAATTTCATATTAGTTTTAGGTTTTATTTTCTGCACTTTTCTTTTGGCCTTTGTATAACAAGAAATTTTTTTTTTTTTTTTTGAGATATTGTTGTGTATTGTTCGAATTCATGGGATTATCTGTTAATTTATTTACGCACAAATTATTTTGGGTTTTGCCTGTGGAGATATTGGTAACTTCAGACCTCATAAATCCAAATTAGTGTTCTTGCAGTGTGTGTTTGCTTGTAGCATTAAAGAGTAATTGGACCATATATTCATAATTCATGTCATGAGAAGTAACTCAGTTAAAAGAAAAAAAAAAAAAAAAAAAAAACCCCAATTGGCAACTGATTTTATTTGTGACCATTAGCCGAACAACACGAAATTGGATATCGTGGAGATACTAAGAAACTTTTCCTTGTTACTTTTATGTACAATATGAGTTAATCATGTTAACTCATTGGCTTTATCTTATTTGATTTGCGTATTTGCACTATGTAGGCCTTTGTTCTAACATGAACTTATGTGATGTGGCCCTATTAGTGAGTTATTAGAAGTTACTTCTCTGTTAGGTGGAACTTGTATATAATGTGGATAAGTTTGTCTGTTTGTGTTTAGGATGCAGTCGCATCAGCTAGAAGAGCCGAAGCAGCAAGGAAACGCGAGGAAGATATAGCTGCAGGAACAGCGCAAATGAATGGCCGGGAGCTTTTTCTTCATGAACCTTGGGTTTTTGATAAGGCTCTTTATTGAGGTAACCTTTTGTAGACAATAGACTTGAAAATTTATGTCTCATTTTTTTCAATAAATTGATTGAAAAAGCAAAAAAGACATTTAATTATATTTATGATCAATGTATCTCTCATATATTCGTAATTGTATCATATGAAATACTGTTAAGTAAAAATCCGGATCAGAAATTGATGTTCACTTCCTCCTGGAGGCTCTTATGGTCGATCTATCTATGGGGTTTTTTGTTAGGACTCCCTTCGTTCTAGACACCTTGGAGCAATTAAGCTAAGAAGAACAACAAGAACTCTGAAAGCTAACCAGGAAAATGGCCTGGTTCCTTTTATTGAATCACGATGGAAAATACAAGAGCAGGGAAACAAAATAAAAGCTGGAAATGAAAGATGAAGGAGAATTCGAGGACCCCTCCAAACCTCCACAGACTCAATCCTTTACTTAATTCTCAATGCCTTTTCCTCTGGACCCGAGGACTATTTATTCCCATATCCTCTAACTAACTTCTTTCCCAATATCATACCCTTGCACACAGCCCCATAACCCATAACCGTATCCTAACAAACGCCCCCCTACCCTTGCCCTGACTCAGTGTTAATCACATTCCCCTCCTGCCCCTGCACATTCTTACTCCTTCTTCTGGCATACACAAATCTGAGGGCTGGAGGTCTAACATTACCCCCCTTCTCCAACTCGACCTTGTCCTCAAGGTCGAAGTCCGGAAACTGTTCAGCAACGGTCACTAATTGCTCCCAGGTCGCATCCGCCTGCGGTAACCCCTTCCAATGCACCAGCACCTCTTGTACCTGGCGCCCCCCGACAGCAACGGAGCAAGAATTCACAATCGAGGCCGGTTGGACTAGGAGCTCCAGCTCATCAGTCAACTGTTCCGATAGCACCAAACCATTGTAATGTTGTCCCTTAAAAGCTTTGAGCTGAGATACGTGAAAGACCGGGTGGATTTTGGAGCTGTCCGGCAATTTGAGGTGGTAGGCAACTAGTCCGATCTTAGCCAGAACGGTGAAAGGCCCATAGAAGCGGGGACTAAGTTTTTCATTGACCTTTCGTGCCAAGGACTTAATGAAATAGGGCCACAGCTTTAGTAAAACCAAGTCTCTAGGGGCGAAACTGACCTCTCGTCGGTGCTGATTGGCAAAGTGCTTCATGCGCTGTTGTGCTAAGAGTAAGTGCTCCTTGATGGTGTCTATCATGTGATTGCGTTGCTGGAGTTGAACATCAACCTCATTGACGGCCGTGGAACCTTCAGGAAAACGATACAGGGGGGGAGGAGCTCGGCCATACACTACTTGGAAAGGAGAGTATTTGGTGGAAGCGTTATACGTAGTATTAAACCAATACTCTGCCCAAGGTAAAAAAGATAGCCACTGTCGCGGTTTGTCGCAGGCGAAACATCGAAGATACGTTTCCAAACACCGATTTGTCACTTCCGTCTGGCCGTCCGTTTGGGGATGATAGGCCGTGCTCGGGTGCAGCCGTGTGCCCTGGAGTCAGAACATCTCACGCCAGAAATGACTCATAAAAGTCAAGTCGTGGTCGCTGACGATGGAGCGGGGAAACCCATGTAATCGGACGATCTCGCGAACAAACAGGGTTGCCACCTGGATGGCCGTGTAGGGGTGCGCCAAGGGACAAAAATGTGCATATTTGGATAGGCGATCGACGATGACTAAAATGGTATCCATTCCCCGTGACTTTGGAAGGCCGCTGATAAAGTCCATAGAAACATCCTCCCAAATCTGAGCTGGGATAGGCAGCGGCTGCAATAACCTTGCCGGCGACAACGCTTCTGTCTTCGAGTGTTGGCATGCCTCACATTTGTCCACATAATCCCTTTATGGCCTTCTTCATTCCTTTCCAGAAGAAAACGGTTGCTATCCGTTTGTATGTCCGCAGGAACCCTGAGCGCCCCCCAACCAAATCGTCGTGGAAGTCATGCAGCACCCGAGTGATCCAGTCTGACGATGGAGGCAGAACGACGCGGTCCCGTAAGTAGAGCAAACCCTGGCGAATCCCATATCCCTCGCGCAGGGGTTGATTTTGTTGCACGGCAGAAATGAGCAGGGCACAATCCTGGTCTGCCTGTTGGTCTTTTTTAAGGCCCTCGATGTCAAAATGATGGGGAATAGACAAGGCCGCGAGGGAGACATCTGCTGCGGTTCCTCGCTGAGATAAGGCATCGGCGGCCTTGTTTGCCGCACCCCTTTTATATTGTACTTCAAAGTCATATCCGAGCAGTTTGGCCACCAAACGTAGCTGCTTTGGTGGGAGAACCCGCTGGTCAAGGAGAAACCGCAGACTCTGCTGGTCCGAACGCACGACAAAGTGTCGCCCCAGGAGGTAGTGTCTCCACTTCTGCACAGCGAGCACAATGGCCAGGAGCTCGCGCTCATACACCGAAGTCAGGCGGGTCGTGGCCGATAGCACCTTACTAAAGTAAGCAAGGGGTCAGCCTTCCTGCATTAAGACGGCGCCCACCCTGATTCCGGAGGCATCCGTCTCCACCACAAATAGTTTAGTAAAGTCCAGCATGACCAAAACGGGAAGTTCCGTCATCGTTGTCTTCAATTGAAGGAAGGCTGTGTCTTCCAAGTCGGTCCAAAAGAAAGCTCCCTTTTTGAGTAGATTGGTGAGGGGACGGGCAAGGGTACCGTAACCCCTCACGAACCGCCTATAGTAGCCCGTGAGACCTAAAAATCCACGGAGTTCCTTAACGTTCTGAGGAGTCGGCCACGAGATCATGGCCTCGACCTTGGATGGGTTGGTGGACACACCCTCAGCGGAGATGACATGGCCGAAAACGCATTTTTTGTAATTGCCAAATAAGGATCCCTGCTGTAAGACCGTGAGGCCCTGCCGCAAATGCCCGCAATGCTCCTCCCAAGACCTGCTGTAAACCAGTATGTCATAAAAAAAAACCAATACAAACTTCCGGAGATAAGGGCGAAATACCGAATTCATTAACGATTGAAATGTGGCCGGCGCATTAGCGAGGCCAAAGGGCATGACGAGAAACTCGTAATGCCCCTCATGAGTGCGGAACGCCGTCTTTTCCACGTCGCCTTCCCGCACACGTATCTGGTGGTAACCTGCCTTCAAATCCAATTTGGAAAAGACCGTGGCTCCATGTAGCTCATCCGGCAGCTCGTCGATGATCGGAATAGGAAATTTATCCGGAACCGTAAGCTGGTTTAAGGCTCGGTAGTCTACGTAGAATCGCCAACTGCCGTCTTTTTTCTTAACCAAAAGTACCGGACTGGCATAAGGGCCGCTGCTAGGCCTGATGATGCCTGAAGCCAGCATGTCCGAGACCAATTTTTCTATCTCCCCTTTTTGTATCTGCAGGTACCGGTAAGGCCAAACATTGGGAGGAGTCGCTCCATCTCGCAGGATTATCCAGTGATCCTTCACCCGTCGCGGTGGCAGCCCTTTTGGAGTATCGAAGACGTGGCGGAATTGCTGGATAAGTCCATCAAATTCTGGAGGTAAGTTGTGCGTTTCCATGTCTTGCCCATCCTCCCCTACTGAGTTCAACTCTAGGAGTACCCCCACCTCCCGTGCCTGACAAAATCGAGTCAAAGAACGGAAACTTACCGGTGAATAGCTGAGGGATGGATCCCCAGTCCATTGGACCTAACTGCCCTCTTGCTGGAATTTCATGGTGAAGTTTGCCCAATCCGCCCGTACTTCACCTAAGGTGCGTAGCCACGTAATACCCAAAACGACCTCTGCACTGCCCAATTCAAACGGAAAAAATCCTCGACAACCTAGTGCCCTTGTATGAGCAACCGCACTCCTCGGCACACCCCGTTCTGGTGAAAACTCATGCCGTTGCCCACCTGAATTTTGTGCCGTACGGTTAAATCCGATGGCAGGCCCAGTGTACGCACCAGTTCTGCAGAAATGAAACTGTGGGAGGCCCCACTATCAATCAACACGATGACTTCCCTGTCGCCGATGGTTCCTTGCAGCTTCATGGTCTTTGCGGAGGCAAATCCCCGAAGGGAATTAAGTGATAGATCAACGTTACCTTCAGTAATCTCCTCCTGTACGGCAGCTGCTTCAGCTGATTCATCCTGTGGGTCCCCCTCCCGATCGGAGTCTTCCCCTATGACCAGAAGGACCTGGAGCTGGCGGAGTTTGCAGCGGTAGGTCTAAATTTTTCATCGCACCTGAAGCAAAGCCCACATGCTCGTTTCTGTTGTATTTCCTCGTAAGAGAGCCTTCGGAAAGAGGAGCCGCCGTTAGTCGTCGCACCCACTGCTCCAGGAGCATCTCGGTGTCGCGGTGCTGTAGGGGGGTCGCGCGGCGTTTGGGATCGAAGGGAGCCCTCTAGAATGTCCGAGAAACTAGGGCTAATGTTATAACCCGGTTTACCCCAATATTCTACCCTTGCACACAGCCCTATAACCCATAACCGTATCCTAACAAACACCCCCCTACCCTTGCCCTGACTCAGTGTTAATCACATTCCCCTCCTGCCCCTGCACATTCTTATGTGTGTTTTATCAAAAAATCTGGATCAGAAATTGCTTTGATACTTAACTTTTAGGAGGATCTGTAGTTGGTAGTTATAACTCCAGTCCTGTACCCGTACACCATCTACATTCACCTGTAGCAATGACTCGATGAGCACTTTTTTCTTAGCAAGTCCTCTGCCTAATGACGAGAGAAATGATGTTTTTCCTTCTTGTATTTCCCTTTACATCTCTTTTTATGGCCCTCTTTATCAGCTACCGTCGCGAAATTATTTTGCTTGCAATGAACGAATCGTAGCAAGTAGTAAAGTGAGAGAATTGTCGAATATGGTCCCACAAGGGTTGAGTTTTCACAAATTAAACTAATTACCGCAACTATACTAACCCAATTTTATCAAGGCAATCGAATTTAAGGAAATAGACTCATTAAAACAAGAAAAGCAAAGTAATAACACAATAAGAAGAGCAATTTGGAGACAAAAAGGATCGAAGGGAACTCTGACTATGATAAGGT